CATTCCGCTACTTCCTTTCTGCTCCTTGTGCTCTTGGAGCCTGTCCTTCCTAGTAATCTCTAGCAGATGAAAACATGCTAAAGCTCCGTCCTAGGTGCATCTACTTCTTGGCCAGCTTTTTAATGGGCTCCCTTCATAAGAAAAGTCCAGATCTCAGTTACAGACCAACTGAGCAATCCTCAACACTGCTGGACTTGCCTGAGTTTTCAGACTCAGTATCCCTAGACCTAATAAGAAAGATCCTCCCCAGATCATTCATCTAGTACATATTTAGTAAGCTGCTGAAGGTTTAGACATAGACCGAGGCTGGTGGTCCCTCCATCGGCGGAGCTTCCAGTGTGGGGCTGCAAATGTAAAAGGTGAAAGAACACATGAAGCCATGGACAGGAGGAGCTCTCCTCGTTAACAGTGCTACGTCAAGTCCAAGAGAAAAGTCCATTTGTTTAGTCTGGGTACCTAAGGATGAAGAGAGATTTCCTAAGTGAAAAGTGAGGGTAAAGTGTGCTCAGGTGGGAAGCGGCATGCTGAAGACTCTGAGGACACATAGGATGCAGGAACGCTGCAGAAGTGGAACACCAAGGTGACTGTGACAGAGAAAAGGGCAGAGTCACCTATGCACAGGGGAGGATGAACAGTGGGCAGGAGATGGCATCTACCCTGGGTTGCAGTGACAATATGTCTGTGTGCCAGGTGGCTGAGCTGGGCAGGATGGTTAAGGCAGGTTCCCTTGCCACCCAGAAACTTGGAGTGTTCTGTGAAGACAGACAGATAAACCTGTAACGGGGTGAGAGGCGAACTGGACGTGTGTATAAGGAGTTGACAGTAAGCATCGTTAACTTTATGTGGCCTATTAAAAGGAGGGAAAAAAAAAACCTAGGGCAAGTAACTCCTGAGCTGAAATCTGAAAAATAAACATGGGTTCCCCAGGATGGAAATGACTTCATCAGGCAACAGGCCACCATGTCCGGAATTACAGAAATATGAGAAGAAGCAAATCAAATAAAGGCTAGCCCAACACCAGTCTCGCTGGCCCAGAGGAGAAATGTTCTTATTCTCAGAATGTAGGGCCCCTCCCACATCACAGCTAATCAGCGGGTCAAAAGTACTCAGCGAAAGGCACTGCTTTTCTTTCTGAGGTCATCACAGACACTCAGTCCATGAAGGTCAGCAAAAGTCAACCTGACATGGGCTAGAGTCACCGGGGAAGAGGAAACCTCAGCTGAGCAATTACGAATTACCAACTGATACAGGAGCATCCAGCCCACTGTGGACTTGGGCCGGCGGGCCTGGACTGTATAAGAAAGGCAGCTGAGCAAGCCAGGGAAAGTAAGCCAGGAAGCATCATTTCTCCATGGTTTCGGCTTTGGCTTCCTTCAGTGCTGGAGAGTGACACTTGAGATGAAACAAACCATTTCCTCCCACGTTGCCCTTGGTCATGGCATTTATCACAGCAGCAGAAAGCAAACTGGAACACAACGCTTCATCAAAAAGAACACCAAGTATCAGCAAAAACGGACTCATGGAACACGTCAGTTAACAACCAACCATTTGCTGAATTAAAGTTCTATGAGCCCTTATGTAACTAAGAAATAAGAGAGTAAACACACATTGTGGTACTTTTCAGGAGCTGTGTTAGCTCCCAAAGGAAGGACCAAGGAAGAAAATCCCTGTGAGGCCAAACACTCGGCGGTAAAACAGAAGTAAGGAACACGAGGGGCTCTTGGAAAAGGATGTAACAAGTGGGTCAGTATGAAACCATAGACAAATTACGCATTATTAAAAAGGGAGGCTACACATTCTTATGTGTCTGAAAAAGACTCTACCTACAAATCCTGCCATAATCAAAGATTTGTCACTGTTTTTTATCATTTCAGGCAGAGGGCAGAATTTAATCCTTCATCTCTTTCCTCCTTTCCCAAGCTATGCATGGAGTTAAGAAATCATTTAAATGAACTCCAAAACGTTCTTGCAGACATCACTAAACTCTGTCCATACCAATGAATTTCAATGACATCACTGTTTCCATGGTAACTAATGTACTTCAAAGGGGGGAAAACAGAGCAAGACTGAAAACCAGGGAAAAGGAAGACCGTGGAATAAACAGTGTAGCGTCGCCCCTGCATTTATGGAACGTGTTTGAATTTCCAACACTTGGCCATTTCTTAGACTCTGGGGCTTTTAAGAGCCACCAGGCTCTCTGAAGTCGTCACAGTCACTTCTCACCGATACCAAGACCCACTTTTCTGGGGAGCAGTACCATGTCTGTCAGGCTGCACACAGTGCTCAGGGCTGGCAAGTTCTCGTTCACTGTGAGCCTTACTACAGTACACACATGCTGTTCCTTGGGTTTACGAGATGATTAAGACATTCTACCTGTTTTTAAATTGTTTTTGCAGCATAGAGGACAAATGATTAAAATCAGGGCATGAAAAGAGGGCTGTCATCGTAGAGATACAGCAGGCAGATGTCCAAAATGCCAGAGGGAGGGACGAGTAATTCCATCTTGGAAACAGCCACAGAACACGCAGCCCCAGTGACCTTCATTTCTATGCCATTTAGTCCCAACACACCCATGACCACATCCTGGCCCTGTCAGGACCCAGAATTGCCCTAACTCTACAATCTTAACATCACGGGTGTGACCCCAAACAGCTGCTTCCTCTTTTCATTAACCCTGGATGCAGTCCTATGCGCCCACTCAGCCCACTACCCCTCACTTCCTGGTGATATTCCCTTGTTACCATCCTCAACTTTTACCCTTACGTGGCATCTAGCCAGCAATATCCCAGCCTGAGCTCAGTGACTAGACTCTTTCCCCTGTTCTGTTCTCTAGGAATTATTTGGCCTACTCTCTGTCTTGGAGACTAGGGGGGAAGAATTCCATCACAACATATGAGACTGTTTTCTTCATTATTTATAGGTCAAGAAGTGTCGCAGGCGTCAGAGGACAATAACACCTGAACTAAAAGTCTACATGCCGAATGTGGGAGCTATGGTCATCAGACTTGGAATAAACGGAGTCCAGGAAGGACCCGACCACAGCCACTATCATCTCAAATGACAGCAACAGTTGAAATGACCCACGACTATAAAAATGATCAGTTCTGAGGGGAAACGAGAGAGAAAATCTGATTCCTGCTCTTTGAAAACCAATTTCCTTCAAGGAATTGCTCAAGTTGAGTGTGGTAGGCATATGTCTCTACCTTCACCCCAGCAGTCACATGCAGGCAGGCAGAGGCCTAGCACCTGGACCCTGAAGTGATAGTAACAGGCCGAGGGTCCTGATACCTACTTTCTGCCAGGGAGGATTACAGATCACTTGTTCACTTGGTGCCATCAATTTTGGTAGGAGGCTGCTTGTCTCTTTGCCACTTAATACTTTAATCTCACATTACTCAGTGACCTGCACTGCCATTACTTTATCTAGTTTATCCTGGAGGACAGTACAAAGTCACACCGCTCTAAACACAGGCAACAGAGAAAGTTTCCTGTCTGCAGTGGCCATGTGGTTTTCATTGCCTTACATTTCTTCCCAGCTAAGTTTCAGAGCATAGAACCCTGGCTCTAAACTGACTAGTCCCAGGTTTGGGTCCGCCAGTGAAAGCAGCCGCGGTGACCTGGAGGGAAAGCAGTCAGGCACGTCCCTTACAGGCTCCTTCCCTCTCAGCAGTGGCCGTTTGTCTAGTCAGGGTACACAGCTCCACTCCAGCTGGCATGGGAGTAGACACACTGCGGGGAAGGTCACCTTCCCTCTTCCATGCATCCCGTCTTCCAACTTTCAAGGTTACTCTCAGAGAAAAACACTTAAGAAAGTGTCCCTGAACTGTTTCCTGTGTCATGGTCTCACTGAAGGATTTGAGGAAAGTTGTGAGGTCTCGCCATACCCGAACAAACAAAACTATCACACAGCTTGTGGCGGAGAGCAGGCAGCTCAGAGAATTATGAGAACTGTGAAGATAATACACGGGCCTGAGTTTCTATAAACTGTTATTGAGTATCATTGTGTATGAACGTGAGCACAGGCGTGTACTGCATGATGCACATGTGGAGGTCAGAGGGGAAACTGTGAGTCGGTTCTCTCCTTTTACCTTTACCGGGTTCTGGGGACTGAACTCAGGTCATCAGGCAGGCACAGTGAGTACTTTATCCATTGAGACCAGAGTTTTAAAGGCCCTGTTAGATCTAAAGTGTACTTGGGGAGCCACGTGGACAGAAGCATCACAGAGGTCTTGTTCTAACTGACCTCTGGTACTCCTCCAGGGCTTTTGTGGAGGCACCCTAGAAGGGAGGCCCTTTTCCTTACAGTAAGGAAGAGGAGTGTGTTTAATATATAGTTTCTTCCTCACAAGAGTCTAGTGAAAGTCTGTCTGGTCTCGGTAGTGGCTCTCTCGAGCAAGCAGCTTGTCTTAACTATGTGCAAATGGACAGTGTCTTAATTGGTAGCATGTGTTTCTTCCTTTGGCTGCTAGAAAATTCATAGCATATTTAAGTTCCTTAATGGCATGCAATTTGTTTGCTGACTTTACTGTGGGCTCCATCTGATCTTAATTACTCTTTGTCTATTTTTATTACATTCTTACATTATTTTGTCATGTACAGAATATCCAGAAACACTCTCTAGAAGAACGTGGGCTATGAACAGTTAAAATGTAGGCGGCTGGAGGAAAAGGAGCTCCCTTTCACCTCCTTTCCCACAGGTGTCCAGTCTATCAGGAAAGCATTTCCTGAGACGATCACGTGACTCTGGCAGCATTTGGAGAACAGAGCTCTTTAGAAAGCTTGCAATCCTGGAACCCTGCTTCACAATTCTTCCAGCTCAGCATCATGTCTGGACACTTATGTAGCCTTAAGTATGTTTTACAGGAACGGGAAAGATCAACCAGCAGCCTCATGAAGTTCTACAGAAGGTTCAACTAAAACTCGGAAGCTGCTTTGTTAATGGCTTGGTTCTTGGGCTAGACGAGCCTCCTACTTTTCCCAGTGAGGGTGTAAATGCTTACGGGCACGTGGACCTTTCGAAACATCTCTGCACCCTTGCGGGCATCCATCAGCGCAATGTCCTGAGGTGTGGAGACGATCACAGCACCTGACCAAAAGGGAAACACAGCAATGCTAGATTTTAATCCTTGAGAGAAAGCTTGCTTCCAACATGATTTTATTCACGTGTTCACAGAGTCTGCCGTGATACCTGACCAGTTCGCACAAGTTCGACACAAGTCAATAAAATGGTGTCTACTTTCCCTTTCCTGCCCTTGACTCCTGGCTTCTGAAGTCATCCAGAGCATTGCAACCTCTTCCCATTCAAACACGTGTTCGTGAGACGTGTACTGGGCCAGTCTTGCTGCCCAGAAGCAGGGGTCTAATGGCAAGCCAGAGAGAATGAGGATTGTCACACACAGTACCGAGCATTGTAACAGAAGAGGGGCATGAGGCCATGAAGTTCTAACAGAGGGACAAGAAGGAGCACTCCCAGGAGGAGAGGGTGGTGAGGATGATGTGTAGTGTGGAGAAGAGGAAGACAAGGAGAAGCAATAGGGAAGGGGTTCAGAAAGAGGTCATTCCTAAGCTGAGTTCAAAAGCTGATATTCTGAAACACTCGCACTGTGGTAAATGGTTTGGGGGAGGGTGTAAAGCCAAGGGCTAGGGTAGAAATACGGATAAAGACTGGCCAGGCTTAAATCGAGTCTTCACTGAGTGATAGCAAAAGAGGTGTTTTGGGTCCCCACTATTACCCTGCCCAGGTAGATGGCCCTGGGATAGTGTTCAGGGGGAAATGCAGGACTGATCTTCATTAAGTAGAAACAACGAAGGTCTGGTATGATTAACAGACTCTGAGACCTTCTTGAATTCTGTGGTTTCTTCTAGATACTCCAATAATGAGGATATTACAGATCACATGTGACCATCAGCTTATAACTACACAGAAACACGACATTTCAGAGGCTAGAAGGACAGTCTATCAAAGCAAATGAAAACAGAGGCAGGATTACCAATAAATATCTGATTAGATGAAGTGAAGTTCAAACGGTGTCACAGAGTACTGTCTGAAGGTCTAGAGGGAGATGCTAGGTAAGGGGAAAGTGGCAGGGGGCCCAAGTGACCACAGCACACACGTGGGAAGACAGGCATACCAAGCTAGAACAAGCGAGATCTCACGGCACTTCAACAGGAAGCCATAAACTCTTCTTAAAGTCAACATTTCTTCTCATCAAAATCTTTATCTTTCACATTAATGTCAATACTTTGGATTTCATTGATTTTTTTTAAAATTTTTTGGTTGCACTTCTTTGCTAAACATCTTATTTGTTTGTTTGTAGCTAGAGTTTTTTTTTTTTGTTTGTTTGTTTTGTTTTTTTTGTTTTTCGAGACAGGGTTTCTCTGTGTAGCTTTGCGCCTTTCCTGGAACTCACTTGGTAGCCCAGGCTGGCCTGGAACTCACAGAGATCCGCCTGGCTCTGCCTCCCGAGTGCTGGGATTAAAGGCGTGCGCCACCACCGCCCGGCTGTAGCTAGAGTTTTTCAGGACAAATCTCTCTCACCCGCCAGTCCCACTGCCACTTAGACCCAACTGAGTAAACACACAGAGACTTATATTGATTACAAACTGTATGGCCATGGCAGGCTTCTTGTTATCTAGTTCTTTTATCTTAAATTAACCCATTTCTATTCATCTATAAGTTGCCACATGGCTTGTGGCTTACCGGTACCTTACACCTTACTTGTCATGGTAGCGGCTGGCAGCATCTCTCTGCCTCAGCCTTCCACTTCCCAGAGTTCTCTTCTCTGCTTGTCCCGCCTATACTTCCTGCCTGGCTACTGGCCAATCAGTGTTTTATTTACTACTGCTCTGACCTCTTGGGCTTTTTTTTTTTTTCGAGACAGGGTTTCTCTGTGTAGCTTTGCGCCTTTCCTGGAACTCACTCGGTAGCCCAGGCTGGCCTCGAACTCACAGAGATCCACCTGGCTCTGCCTCCCGAGTGCTGGGATTAAAGGCGTGCACCACCACCGCCCGGCTCCTCTTGGGCTTTTAACTCTGAATTTGGCTCTGTGTTTCTTATTTAATAAGACTGTTCATCTACATGTGTTTGTTTAGTTTAGAGGAAACTTTAGGAGAGCTCTTAGTCATTACTGAAGCTTGAGATTCATTAGCGTCAATACTTTGGATTTCATTCTTTTTTTTTTTTTTTTACTTTCAGTTGCACTTCTTTGTTAAATATTCTGTTTGTTTGTTTATCTGTTTGTTTATTCTAGAGGAAACTTTAGAAGGAGAGTTCTTAGCCATTACTGAAGCTTGAGACTCAAATACATAAGGATTCAAAGTCTGATCCGACAGCTGATGGGCTGTGTGAACACGGAATCACTCAACCTATGTGGACTTCTGTTTCTTCACCCACAAAGTGGCACAGTAACACCTGCTCCCCACAGTTGCTGCTCTACACACCACTAGACACAAATGTCTGATACGATGACGCCTTGCATCCAATGAGAGATACTTGCTGTTAATATCATCACTACTATGTTTATTACTATTAATAAAATGTTTCAGAAGTTGCCAGAAAGGTAATTTCCTTGTGCCATTAGACAGATCATCATGAATGGCTCCAGCTTTCTTTTCTTAATTTCTCTGCTTAACAAACTAAAAGCTAGTCAATAGTTCTTTTCTTTTAAGATGATGAATCACATCTCTGCAAAATTATTCTCTACACAAAGTATTTCCACAATCTGCCACCATCTCGATTCTGTTATTAATATATTTTCATATTCAGTCATGTGGAAGAAATTAATCCTAGCTCTGGCCCCATCTAGCTGTGACTAATCTTGGGCAAGAAACTCAGAAAGACCCCAGTTTCAGATTCCTTGACTGTAAACTGGTGTATGTATTAGACAGTTTCCAAGGTCTCCTATGACTGCATTGGCTCCTAATTGTATTTCTAAACCCAGTCCCTGTTCAAGCTCACTGCTCAGGTTATCTTACTTAGTGGAAGTACTGCCTCTCCTTCATCTCAGGTTAATCTCCTCATACAGGAACAAGGAGGAGCTTTGTTGACTATTTCCTCCCAACCTTCTCCCTCACAATAAACAACTATGCAGGGGGTTCTTTATTGCATTAGTTCTAAAAAATGCTCCCAACTCTAGTCACAGGACATAAATGCATTCTTGCTCAACCATTCTTGTCTACCATCTGCATCTCATTGCATAACATGGGTTCATGTGTTTATGGTCTGTTTGTCCTCCAAGGACTGAGTTATTGGAGCCTTGGTCCTCAGTGTGGTGGTACTAAGGTGACAGGACCTTTAAAAGGTAGGGTTCTGATCCTACTCTCCTGCTTTTTGCAGTTACATACTCATATCTAAAGATACGAAGGGGAAATGGGAAAATGAGTGGGGGACTTTATCTGGAGGCAGTGGATGGAGGGAATCGCTAGGCAAGAGGGGGTGGGGAATGGAAAAAAGAATACTAGGGTGATTGAAAAAGCAACAGGGAAACGTGAGTTTAGGTTTATTTAAAAACACATTTAATATTTAAGTACACGTACACTTTGGGATGATCACTAGAAACAAGTCAATAAGCAGCATTCTTCCAGGGCCTCTGCAGCAGCTCCTGCCTCCAGGTTTCAGCCCTGCTTGAGTTCCTGTCCTGACTTTCTCCAGTGATGAACAGTGATGTGGAAACAAACCCTTTCCTCCCCAATTTGATGTTGGCCAAGGTGTCTTATCACAGCAAGAGTAATACCTAGCTAGGACCATGCGTATACGTATATAAGTAATTTAAATGAAGTTATGCCACTAGGGCTGATAATTTCCCCAAGAGCCAAAGACTGTCTAACAATAGAGCCACGCATGGAAACTTCTCTTTGAGTTGTTGGTCAAGGGACTCCAAGAGACACCCCAACCAATATAGGCTATTGGTATTGTCCTTGACTGCCTCTCAGAAGTAGAACCTATTGCTGAGGACTCCGCACACTCAGACACAGAACTCAGAAGAATCAAGCTGGAATTGACCTGGAAGCCTTCTCCCTGAGGATGAGCCCTCACAGTACTCAAAGGTGCTATGCCAACTGCCAAGGGAGAAAAGTGATCAACAGTCCTATTCAACTGGTGACACAGACCAACCACAAAAATGACTGGATTGGCAAGGTATACATTAGTACAATAGTAGTCCTTTATCTCTGGGGTAACCAAAACCTGTCTAATTGGACTTAAAGCCCACTCAATAGGAAGGAAATCATACCTGGTACTATAAACCTTGCCAATTACCCATGGCTAGAGAGGTCAGAGACCCGAGAAGAGAATCTACTACTGCCATTTTCCTGAAATAAGATAATTTCCAACTGTATTTTAAATACTTATCCTTATATCCACAAATACATGTGGCTCTCACTCTCCACCAAAGAAGGTTCTTATTTTGCAATAAATGGAGACTATTAGAGAGATCCACAACTGGCCACTGTGCAGAGAATAAGTTACTGAAGAGTGCAACGTAACCCTGCACCTAAGACTCAGGGAAAGTCACAATGAGGGGCGAAGAGGGTCTAAAAGCCAGAAGAGCAGGATGTCTGCTGTGAGATAGTGTCTTCTGTATATGACAGGGCAGCAGTGCCCATGAACATGCAATAATGTGGCTCCACAGAGCAAAAAGATGACACCAACTGACACCCCAGCACCGACAGGGGAGATTCCACAGGGTCCCACCCATGAACGAGGAGCTGCAGAGGTCAGCTCTTGTTGAGAAACACAGCCTCCTACAGGGATGAGCTTCCGCCCTGGACACTGGTGCATGATGCAAGCAAAGCTAATGGACTCAGCAGGTTATACACATGTGTGCACATGTGTGTATATACATACACGTATGTATATACATGTAACAGTAATAATTAAAGAAGAGACCACGAATGGGGTCACAGGAGGAACTGGAGGGAGGAGGGGTGAGAGTGATATAAATGTATTGCTCACGTATGAAATTCTCAGTCAAATAAAATTATTTAAAGGGGCAGGGGAGAGCCCTGTGGGAGGCGGCGAGGGAACTGTCCTTGGAGGGCTTAAGGTAGTTCTTTCCTGTGGTGCCTCACGAGGCCCGTGAGAAGTAG